CTTAATTTATTATGAATATGAAGTTACAAACTGGACTTTGTGTTTGGTGTCAATTAATTAATGTTAGCATGCAAACAGGCTAAGCCAAGAAAGTAAAAGTTAAATAGTACCTGCTGAAAAGGACCATGTAAGCATTGTCATTGTAAATAATTAGCATGCTGAAGTTAACTTTTAGTTTAAGTGCTGCCTCATAGACTCTAGCATGGATGAAGACTCTTAGACTTGTTAAAAGTTTTTCTTAAATGTGAGTTCAACGAAGCTCAAACCAAGACCAGACAGACCAAACATTACATGTATGCTATTTTGATTGGTAGTTCGACTAGTAAGCCAACATGGGAAAGGCTAATGTGAATTTATTGTGTCTGGTAAACTCATGGTTAAGGGTTTAACGACAGACTGTCACATGTTAGACACTGATTGCACTGACAATTAAGTATTTTAAAGCAACTAAGACGAATGGAAGCCAGCAGTTGCCCAAATGGTAAAATAAAATAAACAGTAATATGTTGGAAATGCATACACAAGACATAAAACAATGGTGTGGTCCAGGTGAGTTCTTACCACAGGAGTGAGGGCCATGTGGCAGCTGTAGATCCTGGCCAGTCCGAAGTCAGCCAGCTTCACCTGGCCCTGGCTGGTTACCAGAATATTCTCTGGCTTCAGGTCTCTGTGCATCACACGGTTAGAGTGAAGGAATGCAAGACCGCACATCAACTGCCTCATCAGGTCCTGCAGAAACACATAAAGGAATATTTTGACCAGCACTACATTCCAACAGAACCTGCTTTAAAAGATAGTTAAAAGACCCTTAAAAAAAAGGAAGATACTGCTTCAGTTCTCACTTGAATGCGCCCGGGGGCTAACCCTGCATCTGGGGCTCTCTCCAGGTACGTCTTGAGGTCTTGGTCCACATGTTCAAACACCAGAGTGACTTTAGTCTCCTGGTCCGACCTCTGGGTGGCACACACATCCATCAGCCTGTCATCAGAATACAACTTGTGTGAGAGGTGTTCACAGTGAACTGTAGCCAACACAACACTTTTATAGTCTTCTTACCTGACTACATTTGGGTGGTCAAACTGCTCCAGCCTTTTCAGCAGAGCCACCTCTCTGACGGTGGAGATCGGGAGGCCATTTTGGTCTGTCTGTACCCGCACGCTCTTCAGAGCCACAAACTGCCCGCTCTCTGTATCTCGGGCCTTGTAGACCGTCCCGTAAGCCCCGCCTCCGATCTCTGCCACGGGTTCATACTGGAGACTGGTGCCGTGAGCCATCGCCAAGATCAACTGACTAGGTATGAGACAAAAGGTATGACACAGATCAGATGCAAAAAGTATAAATGACATTATTGCGATAATTAGATAATGAAAGTAATCACACCCTGAAAATAGACAGTATAAACTTAGTATGCCTTTTTAACTTTGAAATGTTAATAACAATTTTAACAATGAAGAAGTTCAAATCCGAGTGTGTGAACAACTCTCCCTAAAAAAAACTAGGAAGCAGTGTATGTCAAATATCACACCAATATGCAGCAGGAGCTATTTTTCCTGAACGTACTGGAAATAAAGCAGGGACTAAATGGGAAACCTTATACACATATCTTTAGAATATAAATATTATGCTCTACAAAAGGGGACATGATTTGTTTTTCCACTTTAGTAATTCCATTAGTTATCACTGTTATTCCAGGGTGTCCACCAGTGTGTAGTGAGCAGAGCTGTGTACAGCGGAGGCATGCTGTACGAAAACAACCTGCTGAATGTGCAAAGGAGCGGAGTAGGCCTTTTTGGTTGTGTGCAGAATGTGCAACATAAGCAACTATTGTTGACTGAAAAACTGTTTAAAGAAAACATATCTTAAATATAAATGTCTATTGCAGAAAAACAAATCAAGGTACAGTAATCCTCTGATGAAATCTGATGTTGGTATAAAGCAGCGCTGCTCACTGATTTACCACATTACCTTGGACAACAATATGACATGTGATGATAACATTAAGTCTCTATGAGTCTGATGGGAATCAAAACAATAAAGCAGAGGACTGTAAAACCAAATCAATGATGCTAAAACGCTCTGTAGAGATGAGGGAAATGTGTCGTACTTATTCACAGAACATTCTTTTGACCTGTTGCCGATTTAAAAACATTGATTCATGCAGCTTTGACTTGGAGGTGAGGAGGGCTTGATTCACACAAGGGTTGCACATATATAATATGTTTTCAAGCTTTCTGGCAGCAGGAGTGAAATAAGCGTTTTATCTAAAGAGCACTCCAGGTACTTTGGGTGCAGAGTGCTGAAAAGTGTGACATGTTTTTTGATGTATCCAAAGAGCAATTTATCAGTGCTCTTCTAGAGTACCTGACCTCTGGAAAAAAGTCAAATGACGCACTGATGGGATTCTGCTTTAAAGCAAAAACACATGACGCAAGACTGTTGGTCTCCACTCTGCCAGCACAGGAAGCACCTTCAACCACCCAGCCCGAAAAAGCATAACTTTCCCCTTCACCAAGTCCATCCATCCGCACACAACCACAGAGCCCCATCCCACTCCTTCCTTTTCTTTGTTCAAGCCTCGACCCACAGTGTACCCCTTCCACCTACTTAAGAATGACGCCTGCCACCTTCATATTGTACTGTCTGTGCCGTTTAATGGCCCAGGTCCCCCTCTGCTTCTTCCTGCTGTTTTTATTGCTTTCTACTACAGTTATTGGGATCCGGAGGTTTGGTACTAAGGTCAAAATGTTAGGGCTCATTATTCTAAGGAAAGAGTAGAGCAGCATCATTATAATATTCTTCACCCTGACCCTCCTCTCAGGTAAAGCTGCCCAAATAGGCAAAAAATGATAAACAGGATTATGTACAATCTTTTTGTATGTTGCCCTTTCAAATTACAATAAACAAAGCACTGATTTACCCTTTCATGTTTTCCTTCTGAATCTAAAAATAGCCCTTAAAAATACGTTTCTTCTCCCTCTGTATTCAGTTTTTGTTTTTCCCCTTTTGCTCTCTGTTGTTTATTAGTCAACACAAGATTATGTGTGAGCGGAACACATATTACAGTAAATCCTATTTAGTTTATAGTAGTATTTGAAAATGCTGATTAAGATGTGATCAATTGTGGAGCACTACTCTTACTCCCATCACATTCGGCAAATTGGCATCCCTTACTGCTTATTGACTTTCAGTAAACACTTTTTTTTTCTTAATATGAATGGTAACAATAAGAATAAAAAAGTGAGGGCGGTAAAAGTTTCAGTGTCATGCTGTGTCAGACATCAAATATGAGCACACAGGGGATTTGTTAGGGCGGATAAAGTGCAAAAAAAAAGTGAAGTAGAGCTGTAGTTAAAATTGTTTCTGTAGGGCAGAGTGAGAAAAGACAGCAACAAAAGAAGAAGAAACACAATCCACTGAAAGCCGAACACTTCAACAAGGAATTCATTCTCTTCCGTTGTAAACCAGTCCCTTCATTTTCCAAAGCCGGCTCTGCAAAATGTATTATTAATAGCTGTAGAAAAAAACATTGCCAGCATGAGACAGCATGTTTGGCGAGTTAATGTTTACACGGTTGCTTCATGAGCCTGGAGAAAAGAAACAGAGAAATGCAGAGTTTAAGCTTAATGTAGAAATGCTGTACATGTGCTTCTTTGTGGGCACATTAAAAATAAATCTAGATTTTCTTCCTTTTGGATCTTTATCAAAATCCTACCCTAGCTGAGCTCATTTATTCTACAAACCATGTATTACCCAACAGGTACATATAGGGTTAATTATATCTATATGCATATTTATTATAGTGCCACAATGGTGCTTATAACTCAATATAAATCATATACTGGTGGAAGTGAACATAATGTTGTCCAAGAGCTTAAACCTAGTATAGCCAATGTGCTTGTAGATTCAGATAAACCACAATTGTTGAATTGGCCAATATAAAATATTAATAAGAGGAAGAGATGTTGCATCACGCACGTTGAACACACCACGTTTTTTCCTCTAATGCAAAGACAGTTGAGTAAAAGTGTCTGCGGAAAAGAACCTGCATGCCTTCCTGTGCATCTGCAAGAAATATAAATACCTGTTAAAGTTATTGATATCAGAACTGAATTAGGAAAAATACACAGCATATAAATGTACTTCTAATTCAGTTGAATTAGCAATATAAATATGGTTCAACTTATTTATAGTAATGCAGCATTTATATAAAATAAAATGTGCAATGATTAAGGACAACTGGCCAAAATGCTTAACAACATTTTTGGAGCAACAAATTAGACAAACAATTAAAACAAGAAATGTATTGTGATCTAGTGGTTACAGGCAAACACAATACGTTTTGCACAGAATGACCAACTGAACAAAAATGGACATTTTGAGAGAAGGATTTAACAAATAATTTCACATTTAGTTATTGTTTCTTTTTTGTAATAAAAGCTTCCCCAATTTGAATACATGTACTAGTAAAATTGGGTCCCATTCCCATTACTACTTAGTATGATGTTACTTAAAAATCATTTAATTGTTATTTTAGTTGCTGAATGAAGGTGATGACGGTGCAACACTACAGTTTCATTCAGAAATCCCCTAGCTATCGCATATTGTTCATATTACGAGCAAACAGAGTGTAACAGATGTTGAATGCCTAAATAAAGCTGTTTTGCAGACTTCCTGTGTTGAGGTATTACTCTGAGACAGTAAAGTAACTAAACACCAAAGCTAGAAAATAAATGTTTACCAGTTAAAAGTTAAATACGGAGATATATATGCCCAATATTGGAAACAAATTGTGATAATTCAAAAATATTTACACAATGAGACATTAGTATGAAAAAGTGAGAACAGGCTGGTTCAGAAGTTTACATGATTATACTATGATGCAGTCTTTTAAACCAGGGAAACACAAAACTATTGATAATCAATATCTAGTCTTGAAGATATTTATATCAGAATACTGCCCAGCCCTGGTCAATACTGCCATTTTGATGTGTGAGTCATGCAGTGTCCATAATGAATATCCAGGCTCTGTGAGGTCTAAATGCCAAGCATCCTCTTGACTACAGGATGTGGTCAGGCTGTACATGGCTTGTCACCCTAAAAACATTTCCTCATTTCCTCCTCAGTGACAGAACAGCAGAGGAAAATTAATTGAGAGGACAGATTTTACAGCTGGAAGGGTCGCTGCTGTCTCACAACAATGACGCCAGCAGCTATCGACCACCAGAAGAGCCTGTCAGTATACAGATTGTCAACTCTAACTTCTCAGCCACATGTTTTAATGTACTTAATCCAGCCGGACATTGGGACCAGTGGGAGGAGGCCGAAACAAGCCAGCACAGACGGAAAGCCCTCGGTCCCGACACGTGGTGCCCCTCCATAGCTCTCCTTTGTTAATTAAACAGCATTAAAAAGTGGAGAAACAACAGGCCACACGGACTTTTTCCCCTCCTCACCTACATGTTCACTGACGTGGCGGAGGAACACAGTAAAAAGTACAGACGGCAGAGACAGATCACCGTCAGCAACTTGCATTTCCACATCTGTACCATATTACATAAACTAGGCTATGTCACACTGTCACACACATGAATCACACTCTTGTAAACGATAGTTCAGATACTTCACATACCTCGGCGCGGTCTTTTCTGCGGCAGGTAGGCTTTACTTTAGCTTTATGAGGAGGACATGCTCACTGTTGTGCCACGTATAATTCCTCCAGAGCGGGTCAGCAGGTCGGGTCCGGGCGGAGGGTTACAGCTCCAGCGGTGGGTCCGATGTGCTGAGGCCAATCAACAGATTAAGATTTCGGCCTCCACTGTTTTCCCTTCCAGTCTGCTGCACTCTTTTTTGGGGTTGTCTCTTCCTGTTGCTTCTGGCAACTCTTCAGGAGGCGGAGCTAAAAATCTTCACCGCATGTCATGTACAAGACCTTAAAGCTCTGCTGTGCCTTATAAAGTTACAAATATCATACAATCTATACTGAAGATTAATTCCATATTAGTGTTGTTAAATGCATATCTTTAAAGATCATGTTGCTGTTTCATTTCCGATTCTAACAATAGGCCAACATACCAGACACGCCTTTTTCTTTAGCCTTCCACAAATGGTATTAGGGAATAAAATCGGTAAAATATAAATAAAATGTCTTAAAAGAAAAAAGAAAAAAAGTACGAAATATATAAGCACAACATGCTGAAGATGAAGAAAATATATTCAAAAGATGATATGCCAACAATAAATTATAATAATAATAATAATAATTTAAAAAAGAATTGAGAGGTGTAAAATGCTATGTGTTTACCGTAACTATTATCACATCTGAACTGAAGTATTTTCCATAAAGTAGCCTACATCTGTACACAGCGGCTAGGTCTATAAGAAGGTTTAATGAGTTGTTGCCTGGCAGCTTTATGGATATTTGGGAGCTGTTTATCTAATAAATTAAACTTAATTTTCATTAGTAAATCAGTAATTGAAATAAAAACATTTATCGGTAGTGGCAATTTCGATGGCTACTGAAAAAAACAGCTATATATAGCACCCATACTTTACTACCAAAAACAGGGATGTGCTATGGTTAGATCTGTTTGCATAGACAACTGAAATACAACTCAAACAATAATACATCTGATTTTAAAATACCTAACAAACAATAATTGACCATGTATCATTCATACATTAAACAGATAAAACAAAGCTACCAAACATACATCTAATAGGAATTCACCACACCCTATACTCGATCCTAGTGTAGCCCTCCCGGAACGATAAACAGGTGTCAGTTTACCCGCGGAATCTTTTAATTGCGCACCCTGGGAGTTGGAGATGGGAGAGCCCAAAGAAGAGCACAGATAAGTGTTTCCACGCTGTTTAATATATTTGTACTTTAACATTAATGCTTACCAAACTGCGTTCAAGATATTTATGCTGTTTATACACCAACCACAACATTTGTGGCTCGGCCATCCAACCACCCGGCATCTAAATGTGAGTTAAGATTGTCTCCAGACATAAAACCATCCAATAAAGTTTCTTAAATGCAACACCTGTCTCATTCTTCTGCATGTGTGCCAATATTCTCCTGCTCAGTCATGCTTTAGTGTTCACAAACTAATATGCAGTGCAACAAAATGCTTCCCCATGAATGAAGCTCTACACACACCTATTGGAGACTGATCACCTAACAGGTAAGTCATAGTTTGTGTTCTGGTGTCCAGCACAACCAAACATCTGTTGGGGTCACAGTCTTTCATTGCTTCTACAGGTTTCCTTCCAGCCTACTGCTTTTGCTACTGTTCCTGATCAATGCTTAGGGGAAAAGGCAGATCTGTCATTTATAGACGTTTAGTCCAGAAATGGGGATGTATCGCAGAGACACTGGCCTGCAGATAGTCTCAGTGACAGGGGAACAAATATGAATTTAGGGCTTTCTGCCCAACCTAGAGAACATGCTGAAGAAACATTCTGCCTCAATTTCTGAAGGAGATTAACAACCTTTTAGTACTTTCTTAGGATTTTCTTTTTCACAGCAGACATGTTGAGTGCATAAAACAAATGTGTTACACATAACATTACCGATGGTTCCATTGAAGTGTCCCAGTAAGTTGTGCATTTAAAAACAAGGAGAGAGCATGCACAATGAAGAGTAAGCAGCTAAATGGAACAAAGCCATTTATTTGTATTTTTTTCACCTGTGGTTTCTTACTATGATGAGTCAGAATTTCTGCTGTGAAAAAGGCTTGATGCTGGTGTTGATGAATTGATGCATGCCTCCTGTGCAGTAATGGAAAGAGAATGTTTCCTACATGAAAGATTCTCACAACAAATTATGCTTTAGTAACTGGTTCATGATTCCTAGAAAGAGACACTGCTGTTTTGTTTGTGTGCTTTACGCACCACAAGCCTGGTATCATGTTTTCTTATATTTCTTACAAGAGAAGGTAGATTTAGAAATGGTAATAGGTTTGGGGGAAGCTATGTATTTTGATGTTGTGGTTCACTGTCCCTGCCCTGTCTTTCAAACTGATATCTGATGTCATTTTACTGCCTCAGCTTACTCAAGCCATCAGACTGCCTCTGGCTCTAATCTTTACACAACATGCCTCGGGCCTCCATTATCATGCAGATGAGGACACACTGCAATCAGTATTCATACAAAGCTGTGATAACTATTGCTGCCTCCAATCATTGCCTTCCCTGCAGCATTGCTGGCTTATGTGATTTCAAAGTCAAGTACTGCACATATAGAATTATGACACAAGTCTTACAGTTTGTTTGAGTATCACATGTTGACGAAATTAAGGATCACTAATCACCTTTTCCTTTATTGTTTGTTACCACACTACCTATTATTATCCAATACAATTCTTGCTGCAACTTGGGCAGCATTTCTCGAAAACAAACAAACAGATAACCTCATTAAATATCACATTGATATTAAAACTAACAACTGCCCTTTCTCCCCATTCATCTTAAAACCGCATGGAATTTTGAAAAGGTTACCAATAGTATTACAAAATAATCTAATATGAACAAAGCCACATAATATTAATAAAAACATCCCTGGTAATTAGATTTACTCGACAATTTCACATGATCAATTTGTATGTGTGTAATTTAAGTCATAAAACGCAAACATTTGCTTTTCTTTGTAGAGGATGATCAGGGAAAGAGTCTCCTTAAAGACAATCAGTCGACGGATGTGTTTTGTTTCTGTGAATGGTGGGCTTATTGTGTGTCCTGCTGTTCAAGGGTCTTTGTTCTGTTCTGAGTGTTATGAAACCATGCAAAAATATGGTCACACACACACACACATACACATACACACACACACACACACACACACACACACACACACACACACACACACACACACACACACACACACACACACACACACGCACACAGTTGAACAGTTATTGTTTGTCTTTATCCATCAGCCGATTGGGATCAGCACGTGGCCTCCACGTCACATGAACATCAGCACCTCGGACAGCAGCCTCCGTCATTATGAACCTGAACCTCAATCTTTAACATCCTAGAGATCCCGGGGCACATCGCTGCAGCCTCAGTCATAAACTGTATAATAAAGTGCAGCCTGCCACGTGGAGAGGCATCTTATTGTCACAATGATTAATGGAGGCCTTGAGTATATTTGGTGAAGATTTGATGATGATGTGCGATTGTTTTTAACTACCCGGAAGGGACGTTTGCAGTCTGCTCTCGGCTCATTTTACGTTTGCAGGATCTGACACCCTCTCCCTCCTCCTGCTGTGTGGCGCAGAGATGGAGGGAGACGAACAGAAAACTGTGAGTGCAAGTTGTCGGAAAATGGATTATTGTTTTTTGTCTTTTTTCCCTATCCATCTCTAACACGCACCGCTGCTGGATGTTAACGTTGCAACGGACCTGCTTAAGGAGAAAATGTGTGGGTCGATCCTAAAAAGAAAATAAAACAAGGCAACAGCGAAGAAGGACTCCCGTGAAATAATGGATGCCACCACGAGACAACAAAGAATGCACGCTTGTCACCTCGTGGATTTCATATATCCTGTATAAATAGAGAGTCCAACATATTAATCGGCTTTGACTTCATTTTAATAGGATTTAATATCAACCCCCCTTCACACACCCTCGCTGTTTTTTGCCTGAGGAAGAAACGACATCAACATTTTTGCCATATGCTCATTTAAAAACATCAAGAAAACACTAGGACAGTCTAACAATGAAGAACCGGACTGAACATGTAGGCATAGGAGGATGATGTTGTTGGACACTTCTGACTTTAATGCTGGTGCATCACAGTGCGTGGCTCGCAGCCTTCATTGGCTGTATCCATGATAAATAATGCTTCCCCATTGGCTGGATAGCGGTGCACATGCTATAACAACAGGATATGCAAAGAGCTATGGGCTGATCTAATAGCCTATCATATTTCCAGCACGCTTTTTTGACCGAGATCTGTATTTTATTTAATAGGATGTGAACTGCCTACTTGAATCAAATGGTTCGGATGCCATAATAATAATAATATTAGCCTAATAATAACCCTAATAATAATAGGCCTAATAATAATAATGATAATTTATAATGGACCTGCCACAGTGAAGCTGAAGGCTGTTTTTATCTCACGGATGTTTTTCAATGAACTCAAAGTGTTGTTACTGATGCGCTCTGGATCAAGCAGGAGGACTGACACACACCCGGACACACGCACCGGGATGCGAGGGCTCGCCATAGGAGGCTGTGGCTGGCCGCCTCTGAGCTGCTCTCACCGGGACGATGAGGAGGAATATTACGGCTCGGAGTCCCGGCCACGCAGCCTGGCAGTGGAGGACACGGAGGAAGACAAACCCGAGGGAGGAGCAGGCCTGGACGCCGCTTCCCTGCCGAGCCTCTCGGAGAGCGGGACGCGGTCACCGCAGTGCCGGATCTGCTTCCAGGGCCCGGAGAAGGTATATTATATAATACAGGTATCACTGTGGGTTCCTGTGCTTTAAGGGGGTCAGGTAGGCCAGTGGTTCTCAAACTTTTTCCAACCAATGACCACCATTTGATCCAGTTCCAGGGATCAAATGGCGGTCCCTGAACTGGACCTTTATATTTTTGTTTTTAGATGTTTTGTTACAGAACATACCCATGACCAAAATAGTGTACATTTTGTCATGGTGTAGCCGACGAGGGCCAGGCTGAGAAAGTACATTCAAATGTCAATATTTTTTAAGGCGTTAGGAAAAACTCCAGCAAATCAGTGTTGTTTTTCATTAAGTCCGGAGGCTTGCACAGGAAGATTTTTTCTTCAAAATGTTCGAAGTGAAAGATGTATCACGCTATGTGGAATGGGATGAGAAACGTCTGTGCTTTAGAAAAAATAAT